GTAAGAGAGGTATTTTTATAAAGAACTTGGACTAATGTTTCCACCCCATCGGAGCAAAGTTTATTATTGCAAAGATTTAAAGAAGACAAAGTTTTGTTCTTACAAAGAGCTTTAGATAAAAGTTTTACATCCATAGAATCAAGGTTATTATTAGAGAGTTGTAAAAAAGTCAAAGTAGTATTTTTGTAAAGAACTTCAGTTAATGCTTTTAATTTCTCTAAACTAAATTGAACACTAGAAAGATCTAAGGAAGTGATAGTAGTATTTTTAAGAAGAATATTAATTAATTCCATTGTTATTTTATCACCAGTTCCAGAAAATTTTAAGTTGACAATTTTAGTACTAGATCGTAAAAACATTAAAATTAAAGAAGATTTAATAGTTTCAACTTCATTCTCAAAAAATTCATATTTACTACAATAATCAATGAAATTACAAGGAACTTGATCATCATAACAAAGCCAATTTACGACACCATTTTCTAAACCATAACAATCGACAACAGTAGTATAAGTAGTGTATTCAAACAACGGTTTTTGATCATTTGGAAGGATTATATTTAATGAGATTAATGGTGCAAGTTCTTCATCATTTAGAGATAAAAGGTATATTTTTATAAGTTCTTTATCTTTGAAATGCGATAAAGGCTCGCTCCACAATATTGGTACGACATTTCTACACCATTGACGGTTTACAAGGAGACATGAAAACAAAAATCTATAATAATTACGAAGATTATTTAATATTTCGAAAATGCATTCATTCGGTAGTGCTATCATGTTGCGCGTTGGAAAAGATAAAAAGAATTGTTGTTCGATGAAGAAAAAAAAACTGAATTGGAATATTATGATTAAATTTTGACTTTACCTTTTATAGTATAATGATTTAATATCGTGATTTTTAGTAAAATCCAATTTGTAAAAAGTGGCGTGAATTAACACGAGATTCGCATAATGGCACGATGCCTCCGGCGTAAAATTATTCTTCATTAAAATATTAATAAATATTAAATAAATATTCAAATCCACCTTCATGAAAATACTATATTATGCCCTTATAGTATATTTAAGTACTAAGCCTACATGACTCAAAGTAAAGAGTCCAATCGTTACTCATAATCTGATAAGTAATATCTTATGTGAAAATACAAAACTTCTAATGTACGAAATACAAAACTTCAAATGTACGTATAATGATCTTTTTTTAGCTTGTATCTTCGCATATTTAAATTATTGAGACATTTCCGGGAATAAACATAGATGTCGTGTACAGCTTTATTTAAAATTCTGGAAACAGAATGATATTAAGTTAAGAGACGTGCATATACAAAATCATGCAATTAATTGAACGATATGTAGAATGAGAATGAGTAAAAAGAACCACGATTTTACACAAATGGTGCGATTATTAGTGCTAATAAACAGCAACAAATATGTATCAATCATTTTCGCAGATAATTCTTGAAGGTTTTAAACACAACGATTAAAATACATGGTTTTATTGTCCGGAGCGAAGCGGAGACACTTTGTGTTACAGGTAAACCAATTTGTCCGCACACGTGATATCGATCACTTTAAATTCGAATGTTCTAGATTATTTTACACTCGCGTACCTACGTAGTTATATGATACTTTGTAAATATCTCGATATATTTATTAAATCATAGGTATAGTAATATGCAGAGATAGAACAGTCAGGTATATTACCAAAAGTAGAAATCAATTCTAGATCGTTTCATTGAAGTTCGGTTGTTTTTCATTAAATCCAGTTACATTTTGTGGCTTTTCGCAATAGCTAACCATGACAAATAATTTTATAGATATGCAGTTGAACGTTCAAAGTTTCATGTTCAACATTGATCCCATCGGGATCAATCCTTTAAGTTTCACTATTCCTTTCTACTCAAAATTTACAATTTATTTCGCTGATTAATGTATAACTCAGCTTCTGATTCGTGTAACCGAAGCAAAAAGAACCACTTGATCTGCGATCTAGATCTAGATTGCCTATGTGTCCGACTATACGTAGAACGTAGTTATGTATATTATCACTTCAGAACAAACAATTTAATATGTTAGGCTTTATTTTATCAGATGTTCAACAAAAAATTTAATACCTTTTTGAACTGCTAGATCTATTCACTTAAATTCTCATGAACACAAAAAATAGCATGGTTATTGTAATGCTTGTAGACAACGACTTTCGGAGTTAAATTTAACATTTAAACATGAAAAAATTTATTCAGTGGGTATAATATTTTTTAGGAAGAATATTAGTCTATACGCTTGTTCATTTTATCGATATCAGCATCAGTTGAAAATTAATAATGAACGAATTTAAATAATTTGTTCGGGTTGAGTCACACAAAGAAATATTATGAGGAAACATTCAAGTTAGTAGAGGCTGATTCTTTGTAATGACAGAAAAATCCAACTAATGGCGTTCTCAAGCATTCACTTTAGATGCAATTTCATAGTGATCGAAATAGTGCACAGTCATTATGCTATTCTCATATCATTTTAAATACGTGTGTCAATAACGAAAACCTCCATTTACTTTAATAGTCACAAAGTTTAATAAGCCAGTGCAACAAAAAAGCAAAAAGTTCTTTGCCTGAAATGATAAACTCACTGATCATTTTTTCACTAAATAAACCATGTGTCCTATACCTTATTCATCTTAATGTCAAGCACATTTATCGGGTAAAATACTTACCTCAAATTATAATTTAATTTCTGACACACCTCCAATACATTTTGGTCCCTTGACTGAGGCGCTTGAGAACGCCCTAAATTTGAGAGTTACATTATGTGCCTTAATTGATTCGAATATTTTGTTTATAAATTGTTTGTTTCAACTCTTTAAGAACATTAGGTCTAATCTCATAGATATTTCGAATTTATATATATTCTTTCTCGAACAATTTAAATGGTATAATTTCATTATTCTTATTTATTGTTTTATTATCATATCGGCTAAAAAACCAATGAACTATAATTCCGGTCAAAATTGTCGATCATTTTGGTCAAATTTTAGATTATTTTACTTCAGATCTGGTTAAATGATCAACAATTGGCCGGAATTATAACTCATTGGTTTTTAACGTTAAAATACCAGTCTAAAAAATTTCGTTAGCCAATCAGATATCGAGATCAGGTGTAACGTGAATAAAATCAAAATTTTGCCTATGCAATTGCCTTCTGCATACTAATAAAAAGTTTTTCTTGCAAACTTTTAACCTAACCTAAGAGCTAAATGGTTTTTTCTTAGCGAAATTTTTTTTAATGAAATCACATAATATGCGAAATTTTTTAGACTGGGATTACTAGTCCCGATGTGTAGATTAGCCGATATGTGTGTTGTAAGTGGAATTTTTAGATTTGTTATATATATGAGCGAATCGGCTTAGCTAGAGACACAAAATTTAAGTTAAACCACATAATTTTTTATATTTTATCGTATAGTCATGTTATTAATGACTACACTAAAATTTCTCATATTTGTATGGTTTACATTATTATTGTTTTATATTTTTTTTTCTGTCTTTAAAATAATCTACATGAAAAAGTTTTAATTGAAAAAATATAATATATATAATCGCGTAGTTTAATTTGATAACGTAATTATGAATATGATAGTTACCAATAACTGGTCAAATGTACAGAACAATTACTCGATTCTACCCTAATAATACCTTAAATAATGTACCCTAATAATACCTTAAATAATTTTAAGGATATCATGACTATGCATAATCATTCGTCTAACCCACCCAAAACCCATTGGTTAGAGCTCTATTTGTGCATATTATTTGATGTCTGAACTTTACTAAAACATTGTTTGACATTAATTTGTATTGTATATTGTCATCGTTAAAAGAGCAATTGGTATGACTTTTTCTTTATAAAAGGAACATAATACTTTTACTAGTTGTTAATAAAAAAAGTAGCTGCCGTTTAATTATCGGGTTTACTATCATCTGCTTCTTCACAAATTTAACATTCATTTTTTGGTTGTAACTTTTTATTATCGTTAGTTTATATATTTTGCCGCAGCATACAAAATTTTGCGGCAAGCGTAATGTCAAACGACCTGTCTTCATAAAAATTTTTTGGAGTACTACGTCCATGTTGCATGAGCCCGCATATTCGCCCATATGATATACACCCTACTTAACCCTAACCATAACCCCAATTGAACTAGAAAATTCCAAATCCACTTAAATCCTATTCCCACTTACCGTTACGACATGTATACTATAAAAATGCCACTATCATGCTGCACTTAGTTTTAAATTGACGCTAAGGAATCCTGCTCGTGATTAGACGAAATAAATTATATGCAACATTCGAAATTCTGTTCTATCACTGTGAAGCCAAAAAACAATCGAATACAGCAAACATTATTATGAAATAAGCTTATTAAAATTATTCAAGAAAATTTTTATTATGACATAAAAGATGGGTTCATTAGTTACTAGCGATTTTCTCATTGTTATGTTATATCGGACCCTTTGTAATTTAATTTACGCAATAATTTTCTTTTAATTAAAAGTAGTTAATTTTTATTTTCGTATCCACTACTACTTTTGTTTTTTATATAATTTTAAGTTATTGCATAATTTTGTGCAATACTTTTTAGCAGCAGTAAAAGATCTATATAAAGAGTTGCTAGTCGCTAATAGTAAAGAAAACCTCGATAAACAAATCGATTATCGAATAAAAGTCATACTAAATAAAACTCATACTTACTATACATAAATATTATGCCCATAATTAAGGCTTACAATTCACTACATCTGCATGTGCCATATTCAAAGCTCTCCCCGAATCATAACACGTCCAATCAATCCTAGGAGAAAATTAGCGTTTCCCGAATTTCTAAATTTATGTATGGTACACATGTGCTATGTTATACTGCATAATCTTAACCACAAAGAATATAAATTGTTAGAGTTTTGCGAGGTTTCAAATAAAACCTTGAATAAATATTTTAATTCAATGGAAGAATTAAAATTACCAACTGCATTGGATGATAATGATGATAATTCACAATTTTTCAGCGTAGATTCGAATAAACTTAGAGCGAAATATATAGGTAGGATGTTCAATTATTCTAATAAGAATTTAGAAAATTCCTAAGTTATATTATACTGAGGATTTGACACAAATTGTGATGATATCGACATATTAAATGAGAACTACTGGATGTCTATATAATAAATAGTTACGTAAGCTTGATAATTTACTATGAATTTTTCAAATAAAAAGGACCTGATGATTATGAAATTTGCGCTACAATTCGATCAAATAATCCTATTCCTTCACAGTGTGGGCTGTTTTACTTTGAAGTCACAGTTCTAGATAAAGGAAAAAATGGGTAATAACTTATTTTTTGAATTATTACTCTTGAAATTTATTATTTATAAACTGATTTTATATTTTAAAAGAATAATTGGTGTCGGATTTTGTACAAGTTTAATTGACTTAAATGCAAAAATAGAAGGTTCGGATATTATACCCATGCTAGGTAATAAATTTTCGGTTTTTCTTAAAAAAACTCATGAACTCAATTAACATCTTTGTTGTACTTAGGGCAGAAAAACAAAACATGGGCTTATCATAGCGATGATGGATATTCATATCGTTCTGGAAATGGCGAGGAATATGGGTCATCATATACTGTTGGTGATACTATCGGATGCTATCTAAATTTTAGAAATAAGATGATATTTTATACCAAGAACGGGGTAAATCTAGGTAATTATAACTTGATAAACTAATTTATACAGATTTTAAAGTAATTAGATGATTTATGTTATAACCATCTTTTAAGGAATTGCATGCTGTCTAGATTATATAAAAGATGATGTCTATCCGTGTGTTGGAATATCGCAAAGCGGATCTGTAAAAGTAAATTTTGGTCATAGAAAGTTTGATTATTCACGTAAATTCATTTAATACAAATAGTATTCTTAATCACAAATTATTAGAATCGCTAAATAATAATATTTTTTCTATGAATAGCAATGAACAACGATGATAATATTAAAGAATTATGGAGAAATAACAGGTTTAAAGCCCTTGATCTATATGATGAACGAACACAATTATTATTAAACGATATACATGAATTAATCTATCGAGGAAAAGCTTATTTTATTTTAGGAAAATATAATGAAGCACTCATTAATCTAAATAAATTGCTAGAAATTGGACCAAACAATGCAATTGCATTAAGATATCGAGGTGAACCTTACTATATGATGAAACAGTACGATAAATCCCTCAATGATTTAAAGAAATTATTAGAGATTAATTCAAATAACGTATGGGCAGAAAATGTCCATAAACTAGTTAACGAAGTGTGAGTATTATACATAACGTCTAAAAAAGGACTTTAATTTTGCAGTTTACTTTTAATTTATATATCTTTATATCATGTGTATATATACATAATGTTGACTATCAGTACGTGAGTATTTAGAGTCATAACCAATTTTGAAATTAGGAAATTCATTTATCAAAAGAAACAAACGGCATAAGTCTAAATTATGATAAATTTACATAGAGATATAGTGTGAGTATTGGGGTCATAACTACGTATTAGAAATCTTTAATTCAAAAAATTAACATCGCACAATTCACATATTCTCAGTTCGTGAGTACTTTACTTAGAATTATAATCATCTTTTAAATTAGAAATCTCTAAACAATAATTTACATATAAATAGGAAGTAAGTATTTAGAATAAGGATCATTTTTTAAAATCAGAATTATAAGTAATTCAAAAATAAATGCTTCTAATTTATGATTTATAATCCACATAATAGAGAGTATGTATTTAAGTTATTTTTAACTCAAAAATTTCTTATTTAAAAATAAATATGCAATAGCTTTAAATTATAATTCGCATTATTAGGTTGTGAGTATTTAAGCTATCAAATCAGAATTCTCACTATTGTAACTTATCTATAAATCACCATCACATATTACTAGCGAGTAAGTATTTAGAGCCATAACTATTTTAAAATCTGAATTCCATTTAATCCAAAACTAATAAACACAATTCAATACAATTCACTATGTATATTAGAGTGTGAGTATTTAGACGATAAAATCAGAAATTCATAAATCCAAAAACATTAATCTTAAAATTACAATTTATGCTAGATTGTAAGTTCTCAGAGTCATGCCATTTTAAAGCTAGAAATGTTTCACTAATTTAAATTGCAATTCACACATAATTAGAAGGTGAGTGCTATATATTTTTAAAGATCAGAAATTCTACCAATCTAAATCAAAATAATTTAACTTTAAATTTCAAATCACATATCATTAGTGCGTAAGTATTTCAAGTCATACCCATTTTTAGAATAAGCGACAGCATTAATTAAAAAAGCATCTGCTTTAATTTACATGGCAGTCGGTGAGTGTTTAAATAACTATATAATTTTAAAATCAGAAATCTTAACAAATTGAAATTCGGATATTATTAATGGGTGAGTGGTTATAAATTTTTAAAAATTGGAAATCTTATCATCATGCTTTTCAATTACTATTATTAGCCAATTTCATTTATCACACCGAAAATCAAAAAATGCCAACATGTGATCGGCTAAAAAATCAATCAAATAATTTTTAGTTAATCATATACAGCAGTGATGGGTTTTGAACATGTCCAAAAGTTTTATCCAAATTAGTTTTGGCCAGTTCAATATGAAAAATACTAGATCATATGATTAAATACTATAACAATCTTTTTTATGGTATTTATAATTTTAACCAATTATATTTCATAATTAAAGTCATATGATTATTTAGTCATTTGTCCAAATATCCAAAACTTTTAAATTTTGGTTTTTGGCCAAGGTTTAAGACAATTTTGTACAATTGACAAAATTTGTCCAATTGTCCTGATATACAGGGATTGTTCCAGATTCTTGATTCCCGGAGTGATGCATAAAATTTGCTGATCACAGTAATTTGAAAAGCACGATAATTTAAAAAACAGCATTACTCAATCACACCTATTGTGCCAACATCAGTATTATTCAAACATAAAATTAAAACAATAACGGTAAAAAATTTTTGCAAAGAATTTTTTTTAAATCAAAACTCAGAAAATAATTTCATTGATCACTAATTGTTCCGTCAATCATTTCATTGACACCATATTTCACAAACAATTATTGTGCTTTGTAACTCCTTGATTTCTAATATTTATAAAAGGATCGTTATTACGATTGATTATTAAATAAGGATGGTAAAAAAATCATTTTTCACCGAGTTAAATCGTGCGATAATTATGATTATATACTGAGATTTAAATTTAACATACTTGGATCATAATAATTACATGTTTTAAATTGGTAAAAAAATGACTTTTACCATTCCTCTTTGCAAAAAGATGTGATCTCTATTTTAAGATTTTTATCGATATCAAAGAAATATGAACGCAACTGACCAAAATATAAAACAACAGACAATCAAAACATCAATAATTTTCATCACAAACATCATGTGGCCACAAGGATGTAAATGTTACGTAACTTTGTGTAAGATTTGATAAATCGAAATTTCAAGTAAATGCAATTTTAATTAGTTTTTGAGCACAAATTTTCGGTGATTTATGAATTACAATTCAGATCATACATTCAAATCAAATGATGAAAAATCCGGTACTTTATGTATGACGTGATGAATATTAACATGAATTTTAATTTTCTGAAACTTACGTAAAATTACATATAATGTAAAATTGTAATTAATGCAACAAAACTTAGTGGTCACACCTTTTTTGCACAGTGCTATAAAATTATTGCACTTTGCAAAATTCTGTATTCCCCTTGATTACTGATATGTATAAAATTATTGTGATTGTGACTGCGATTGCGATGACTAAATCTGGCCAATTTATTATCAGATTTATGATAATTGGCCAGCTTTAGCAATCGCAATTACAGTCACAATCAGAATCGCAATCACGATCGTTTTATAAAGCAAAGCGCAATAACTAGGGTTGCGTTACATAAATTACAATTTTACATTACATTTAACTTTACGTAAGTTTCAGAAAACCAAATTTCATGTTAATTTTCATACATAAAGTTCCAGACTTACAAAAGCTCTGTCAGCATTATTGCGTCTCCTAAATCGCCGAAAATTTGATCTCAAACTAATAATATGTATTCAAAATTACAATTACATTAAATTTCGATTTACCAAATCTTACACAAAATTACGTAAAATTACGTAAAATTATCGAAATCTAACATTCCTAGCAATAACTCAGATTTATGATAAATTGGCCAGCTATAACAATCACAATCGCAATCAAAATCGCAATCACGATCATTTTATAAATATATATTAGTAAACGACAATGAACTAATATTTTACTGATAGTTTATTTCACAGACAGCTTATTTCTTCAACAAATTAATTTCTTAGTAATAATAATATCCTGATCCGTTGGGAATTAGCGGAAACGAAGTTTCCGCTTATTCACATACGGTCAGGGTATTATTAATTAATCCTCCCGTGATCTTGATATAGTGATCGGGAGATTATATAAATTCTACCTTGCCCTAACCTTAAGCCTAATTACAACCCTAATCTTAGCTTATCTTGTCGGTGAAATGAACCGTTAATAAGATAACTGTCTATAGAATGAATTTTTGTGAAATAAACTGTCTGTAAAATAGCTTGTCTACAAGCTAAGCTATCTGCAAAGTGATTGTCTACGAAGTGAGCAGTACCGTTAACAATTTGGTCGTAGTGTTAGCACTAGTGGCGTGATTTAGTAAATTGCTCAAAACAAAATAAATCTAACTATAAATTATAATCTACATTATTAAAGAGTGAGTATTTAGGGTAATTAATGAAATCAAAATAAACAATTCTAAATTAAATTTCATACATAATTAGAACGTAAGTATTCAGCGTAATATGTAAAATCGGAAATCTTTATTAATTTAAAAGACAAATAATTCTAAATTACAACTTACATATATATTAGCTTGTAAGTATTCAGAGTTAAAATTATTAAAATTAGTTAATATTAAGGTATTAACTAGGGATCTGATGCGTTGAATGAGCCTATGCCTGACAAAAGATATAGGCATGGGGGTGGGCACTGATGCAAAATATCTGACCTAAAATCATTGCCACTTTTGAGACACAAGTATAAAGTACAAGGCACATGTTAGGCACTTTTTGTTATTTGCATGAAAGGTCTTTTCTAAACTCAAAGGCACTTATACCCTGATCATTATATCAAGATCATAGTATAACTATTACGAAGTGCCTGCCATAAAGGTACCTAGAAATTTACATACGTACCTTGCACCCATTAGCATGCTCTTTATATGTCAGCATCGGAATTTGCAGATCTTTAGTGCTAGTATACTGTATTACTTTTGTGTTCAAAATCAAGTGAAATCTGATCTTTCCAATCAAAACCTTTAAACTATAATCTACATATAATTAGTATGTAAGTTCAGTCACAACATTTTTAAAATCGGATGCCTCATTAATTCAAAAAGACAAATCGCACGTTTATAAATCACAATCCGCATTTAATTAACAGGTAAGTTATAGGCATCTTAAGAAAAATTCAGATTAATTTAAAAAAATAGATCATAATTTTAATTCACATAATTAGACCGTAAGTATTTTGAGTTATATCTATTTTATACACAATCAGAAATCGAGTTTATTCAAAAACAATTATAAAATATAATTCACACATACAACCAGTGAGTAAGTATTTAGTAATATATGTTTAATTTAAAGCCAAATAACGGAATACCAAATTATAATTCACATATAATTCACACATATAACTAGTGAGTAAGTATTTAGCAAAATAGGTTATTTAGAACCAAATAACGGAACTCCAAATTATAATTCACATATAATTCACACATATAATTAGTGAGTAAGTATTTAGCAAAATATGGTTAATTTAAAACTAAATAACGAAACTCCAAATTATATTCACATATTATTAAGTATGTGAATGTTTGGAGTTATAATATTATTAGTTTAAAAAATATAATTCTAAATTATAATTCACAAAATTAGCATGTGAGTATTTAAACTGTTACATTTTTAAATAATAATTCAAAAATCTATTTCTTAAGACAATTAACATATTATCAGTGAGTGAGTATTTAATAATTTTTTCGATATTAAAAACTGTAGGTAATACAACTCTAACTTACAATATCATATTATTAGTGAGTGAGTATTTAGAGTCGTAGCCGTTTTAAATCAAATTTGAATTAAAAAATAAGTAACACAACTCTAAATTACAATTCACATATAATTAGTTCGTGAGTATTTAAAGTCATAACCATTTTAGAAATCAGAATTTTTGTTAATTCATAAGATGATAACGTAACTTTAAATTACAATTTATGTGTTATTAGTGGGTAAGTATTTAAATCATAATAATCTTTGAACCTAGAAATTCTATTAATTTAAAAATAAATAACCAAACATACGTAAACTAGTCAGTGAGTATTTCAAGTTGTTTTTGAAATCAGAAATATTATAAATTCAAACAATTAAAATCTGCATATTATTAGCGAGTAAGTATTTAAAGTTATAATGACCTTTTAAAAATCCAAAACTAACATAAATTTAAAGATAACAATATATTAATTTATGCCAGACGGTATTTGTATTTATGGTAATTTTAAATTTCACAGCTATTTGTTAGTAATGCTCAAAATTAGTATATTCTTTTTATAACATTAAAGATTTCAAAAAGAGTTTCAGAATTGGACAAGTGGCAATTCTGATATTGATAACTTTATTCAAGAATCACAACTTTATACATATTATTATAAATTTGTTATTGAATGGATTTCTTTTGATAACTTTACAAGCATGAAGTATCTTGCTAAAGGAGGCTTTGGAATTGTTTTTAAAGCAAAATGGGCTAATGGATATATTCAAGGTTGGGATAATAAAAATAACCAATGGAAAAGAAAGCCGCAAATATATGTTTGTTTAAAAAGTTTTTATGATTCAGCGCATTTAACGAATAAATTTTTAAATGAAGTATGCATTATACTATATCGATTTGTATTACATAGTGTATAGTAGCTAATAAATTAATTTTATTTACTACTATAATATGTTAGGTTAAAAATCAAAACGAGCGTAGAGGCGTTGGTTCAATTGCAATCTATGGAATAACTAAAAACCCAAAAGATAATAATTATATGATAGTTATGCAGTATGCAAAGCAGGAAAGTCTCCGAAAATTATTAGATAATAGATATAACAAATTAAGTTGGTCAAATAAAATAAGTCTCTTGGACCAGATAGCTCGAGGACTTCGTATAATTCATGAAGGCGACTTAATGCATAAAGAGTTACATTCTGGTAATATAGTTAACGAAAATATAGTTAGTTCTTATGTTACCGATTTTGGTTTATGTAAACCAGTGTCACAAGATTCAAGTTCTAAAGACATTTATGGAGTACTTCCTTATGTTGCTCCGGAGGTGTTATATGGAAAAGAATATACTCAAAAATCGGATATTTATTCTTTTGGAATAATCATGTCAGAAATTTTTACAGGATATCCTCCATATCATGATATTTCACATGATCATAATTTAGCAGAATCTATTTGTCTAGGTTATAGACCTAAAATAAAATGCCAAGTTCCTCAACTACTTTTAGATTTAATGGACAAATGTCTGGATGCTGATCCTCAAAATCGACCTACTGCTAAAGAATTATCAGATCTGCTATTTAATTATCGATTTAATATAAGAACCGAAATATATAAACAAGTTAAAGAAATTGAAAATTTAGAAAAAGATTCATCGATTTGTTACCAGCCTACTTCAGCACAACTCAATTATCAAACACATAAACAAGCCATTTATACAAGTCGACTTTTGGATTTTCAAGAGCTTCCTAAACCAAAAAACGCAGGTAATAATATTTATCTATCTTAAAACCTTAGTCTTAAACCTGTATTTTAACATTTTATTAACTCCTGAAGTTATTTTAGTAAGCACGCCTCTCAACCTCCCGAACTTGAATAGACATGAATCTTAATTGTATGAATTTGTTAATTACTTCTTTTTGAAAATATGTTACTATTTTATACATGTATTATATATATTTCTTGATTTGATTCTATTTATTAGCAAAGATAAATTTCACATGATATTATTTAGCAAAATTCAATGAATAAAAATCAAATGTTTAGATGATAAAATTTTAATCTGTTTTAATATGAAATCTTGAAATTTTTATTTTACCTTTTTTAAGGTTTAGGGTTAGAGTTGTAAATAAGAGTAGAAGTAGATCTTAGTAGGGTTCATATTCAATATATTCAATATATCCAAATGGACGTTTAAATAAAATCTCAAATTTCAACATTCATTTTCCAGTATCAGCGACATTTAATTATTGCAACACTCCCGTTTTATCATTTATGTTGAATGTATTATATAATTTTGAATATATTCATCAGTAAAATCAAGACACTGTACATTTAGTATATATTAGAGAAAATAATTTATAGACGTTATTAAGTTTTTATAAGAACACAGAAAATTCTGTGTACAAGGACCGAGCACCTTTTCTGTAATGCGTAAATGCTTTCTCAGTCAAACTATTTTAGTTATTTAAAGTCTCCGCTGAGAAATATTGGATAATGCATTACCTTCCATTTCGGATTGTGAGTTTCGGTTTCGCCCAAAATCCGAAACGTCTGAAACTGGCGAACCTTATCAAACTATCGTTTGCCTAAACAAATCCTTACTCCAACCCTAAAAAAGTAAAAAAAAATTTACCGATTTTCTTAACAATATGTAAATTGCGAAAAACACAGTAAGAAAAATTTTCTGTTGGATATCTACCACTGATAATCAAATTTAGTGGATCAAGTTTCGCCCAGTTCGGGCCTGGAGCCTTGGGTGAAATTAGGTTTCAGAGGTTTTGGAAGTTTCGCCCGGCCAAAAGTTTTGGTTTAGGCCATAACATTAGTTATATGTCATGCAATTTAATTGGACATCAAGTGATTTTTTTTTCTTTTTGGTTATAAACCATTGTCATTCCACATATCTACATGGGCATTATATTGACATATAATGCGTGAAATTTGGCTTAAAATTTATTAGCCGAGTCCGAAAGGTCACTAATGGTGGTAACCTACACGATTTAATATAAGTAGATTATATATCATCTATTCATATACATGTGATGATGCAAATAGTATATCCCATGAATAGGTCGATTGTACCTTAACATATTAGTTAAATAGCTAAATCTTTTTATGTGGCATCTTTCAAATTGTAAAATGTTAATTGTTAGCACGTAATCAAATTTTTCATTTCTTGTATGCGCATTTTTAATCAGAGTTGTCAATTACTCTGAATTACAAAAAAAATATTTTTTTTAATAATTTTCAGAAATTTAAACTTAGATTTGTAATCAAATTATTAACTGCTAAAAAAAACAACGCTATTTAAAATTTATAGGTCGTTAACACATATTTAATCACCACAGTACAGTACTTTATAAAATTATGTATCACCAATAACAGCAGTTCCTCTCATAGCAATTCCACCTTGTATGTTCTCTGCCCAAACTTCTAAAGATGTATTATCAGTGAGACTCTTTTTTCCACAGACTTTAAATTCTTCATCAACATATAAAGGGCTTAATGCTCTATAATTGAAAGATTTAATGTACGAAGAACTTGGCAAGTTATCACGAATTAAATCAAGAAGAAGAGTACAAGTAAGCGGAGCATGGACCAAACAACCTATTAATTGATTATTTATTATAAGTATATAGTTAATTTAAACATGGAAATTATATAAATTGTTCACTCGGAGCCATTCATATTAAACTTGATCAGAATTAACGAACATTTTATATTTAGAAAAAAGTCAAACTTTTTATAAATTGATATTTACCAGGATATCCTTCAATCTCTGTTGAATGAATATGATCGTAATGAATACGATGACTATTGAATGTTAAAGCCGAATAACGAAACAATAGAATTGAAGTAGGTAATATAACTTTCTCAAATTCAGGCGATAAATTCTCTACATAGAAATTAGTATTAATATTTGTGCATCTAATAATTATAATTATACTGTAATCATAACTATTATTATAAATTATAAATTGTAAGTTATAAATTATAAGTTATAAATTATAAGTTATAAATTATAAGTTATAAATTATAAGTTATAAATTATAAATATAAATTATAAGTTATAAATTATAAATTATTAAAAAAAAAAAAGCAAAAACATACCCTTAATAATTTTTCTTGGAGGTCTAGGACTTTTATCTTCACTTGGTGGCATGTAAGCCAAACATCTAGTATCTTTTATACACCAACCATTATCATTACTAATATCCATATCAAGCCAAACAAAAACATTTTCACCTAATTTTCCAATTTTATATTCAGCATCACGAAGTTTAGTAGTAATTTTTGCTTTTTGACCAATTCTTAATTGATTTTTATGATTAAATTTTAATTCACCTCCTGCCCACATACGTCTTAGAAATGGAGCAGGTGGTGAATATAAAGTTTTATAACCATCATTTGACAATTCATGTTCATAATTTTTTGGATTAAAATATACTAAATGATAATTTGGTGGTAATGGTGTTTCATCGGGTGGAGTTTGAATTGACGGAATATTATTGATTATTTCTTTACGATTCAGAGTAATTGAAAGAAGTTGAAGTGGTGTTGGAAATAAAATTTCTTCTTGTTTAGTAATGATTCTAGAAATTATAACTTTCCAAGATGAAATAACTTCTGAATGATTATTTCTGAATTGTAAAGATGTAAGAAATGTACGTGATAATTGTGAACGATAAATAAAATTAGTAGTTGAACGTTTTAAGAAATTCATAATGATTCTGAAGGAAGATAATTTTTGTGAACTGTCAATGATGCTTCCCTACCTTATACGTTTACAGAAATAAAGTTCGTTTAATGCAGAGTACTGTACAGTCATTTGATAGGACCAATTATATTGAACTAATCAAAATGGGTCGGCCCCGACGAAGCAAAAACAAATAAATCTACTAACGAGTATAAATACTAATTTTAACTAAATTTTATTATTGTACTTGCCTTAAACACGCCCCAAGTGCATAGATACCACATTAATTAAACTTTGTACGTACGAGTAAAATTTTAGCCCTATCGACATTATCACAGAAAAGATTCTTCTTAAACGCACTTCAAATTAGCTAATTAATTGGATAAACGTCAATAAGAACTAAAAAGACGGCGATACTAAAATTTAATATTTGAACCTCAAAATATATTCTCAAAACGCAATTCACTAAGTTAATGGCATAACAAGATTTTAAAATTTTATCAAAGTATTTGTCTAAATTTTGTTATGTCGAGTGTATTGATACGAACTATTTTTTATTTGCCGTCAAGTCTTTATTGATATTATTAATATTATAGTTCTAAATTTGCGTAGTTAAATCATATAATTCGTCTGAATCTATGTTTAATTGGAAATAAATTAGTAATAGATATAACTTAGGAGATACCTCTGGCTTTTCGTTGAATATATATAGTTATCAATGAATAGATACTGTAATAGAAAACAACACAATGATACTGACACTAACGCACAATGGAAATATGCACGTGGCTTGGCAAATTTACATTTGTTTGTGAAATTGTGTGACATTATAACATTTCTTCAATTGCAAAGCTTTATATTTTCAGTAACGAAAAAAAGAGATAAGACTTAAAAATAGAGGTTTAATAGGTTCGTTATGTATACTATCATGAGTATCATTATTGTATATCATTGGAGGGTCCGATTAATTGTTATGAATTCTCACGATTCGGATAGCGATAGAGATAGGAATAAATTTCGGCCTATTTTATATATATGTCTAAGTCACATTTGTGTTACGTTAACAAATGTTTCAAACTTTGCATTATTGTATAAACAAATAAAGAATTTCAGAGTATTTATAGACTCAAATTTCCTTTTGAATAATTCGAGTAATTCTTTCTCATTTCACGATTCCAATTAAAGACGGATAAGTTTTTATATACTCAATAAAATGGAGGAAATTCAAAATAAGTTTAGATACTATAGTATTCAACTTGATAAAGAACTTTCAAAGTATCCTCAGATTAGAAAATTGGAAGAATATACTAAAGTTCAGAAAACAAATATTTTCTTTGGTGTTGTCGTTTTCGTATTTATGATGATCTTTTTCAACTTTCTTGGGGAATTACTTTCCGACATGATTGGTTGGCTTTATCCAGGTTTGAATTTAAAAATAACAGACGTTTTAAAACCCATTTTTGTAAATTATTTATATAGGTTAATTTCATTTAATTTTAACTAATTCTTGAATTCTCTTTAACATAGCTTATGCTTCGTTCAAAGCTATAGAAAGCAAAAATGCTGAGAGCGATATTCAATGGTTAACTTACTGGTTAAGAGTCAACTTTTTAAAATATCGAATTTTTATATTTATCTTTATGTTGACCTTATGATATATTTGATCATAATTTAGGACCGTGTTCGGTTTTATGAAAATATTTGAATTCTTTTCCGACTTTATTTTATATTGGAATCCATTTTACTTTCTTTTCAAGTCCATATTTTTCCTTTGGTAAGCTTTTATCTAAAATGTTTTTATACAAATTCGTTTATAGATTCACATGAACCTGAAGTCAAACATTTCACATCTCCTATTTTCATAATAGGCTTTTCCTTCCGCCCTTCAACGGTGCGCAGATTATCTATATGAAATTATTAAGACCAGCTCTTGTGGGTTAAGGTTATAAGTGCTTGAAAATTCGGAGAAGCAATTGACTTCACTCCAATAATACATGTGTAACTTTCATGCTACATATTAAAGGATTTATTGTAATTATATTAACTGATAGTGGCGAATAAATAGTGTATTTTTTTTTGAAAGCATCATGAATTTACTTAAGTTAATCAACTATATATATAACTTTATAGGAGTGATCAATGGTTCATGGTTAGCTTAAATGAGCAGACCTTTGTATGTATTAGTGAAAACGAAAAATTAAAGTTGACTACAAATGATGATTAGCTTTTGTAATTTACAGCAAGGTGTTAGTATAAATGTTTACAAAATTATTTATGTTATCTTGGCATTTGTTCCTAATTAAATGCCATACTTTAACAAGTAGGAATTGAAAAATATAAATTAAATATCAATATAGAGTGCTTTCTATGACATAATATTTTACAGTAAACTCTCGCAATAGTCACATAATAAAATCGGTAATTTTATGTGCCGAATGCTAATGTAAGCGAAAATTTTTACTCATACAAGCAAAAGTTTTCTACATGATATATAAAATTACGCAGCAAATTAAAGTGACAATAGAGAAACTGACAAATGCAAACGTAACTATTGTAGGAGTTTACTGTATATTTTACACAGTTACGTGAGTATAAATTCTAATAAAAATTACTTTGTATATAGCTAAAATATAATCTATAAAAATTTTTTAAAATAATTCTAAAATTCAAAATAGAAAAACTTTAAAGTGATTCAAAGAATAATGCTCGTGCCCTTGTAAATATAGTTGCACAAACGTCACTAGTTACAAGTTTTCTCAATAAACCAGGTTTAGGTTTACACAACTTTTATACAAGAGTAACTAGATGTCACCTATAACGATAAGTGGTACCATATTGTCTAGACTCCACTAGGAGTTTAGACACTTTTAGAATCTTCTTTAATATAGATGGTATATACAAATTATTACAAGATTATAATATATAAATCTAACTAATTTGAGCCAAATTATATTCTTATAAAATTAAATTAATTCAAAATAGTTAATTTATATATATTATAAATCACACCTGTGGTTCAACACCAGTCATGAAAATTCGTGTAAAAAATAATTTTTATTAAACCAAAAATTAAATTTTGATTAATATTAGGTTAGAATTGAGGCCTAAGATAAAGTTATACCAAAATGTTGCAAGAAATTTTTTTTGGTTAGAGTCTCAAAGATCATTTTTAGATCTTCACATTTTATAGTGGTGTATTATGCTTTACGTTATATTTCTGGTTAGGGTTCGTGGTTATAAACTTTAAAAGTTTATATTCGTATGTAAAATTGCGTTTCCGACATTTTTTGTTAGTGCACAAAGGTGACAAGTGTTATGTTTTGACGTCGGGCTGATCCGGGACAATCAAAATTTACGCATTCCGATTGGTCATTTCTCGTCGCCACATCTATATATGATTTACATTCTCGAAGTGAAAATTAAGCTTGGATTATTATTCGACCACAAGATTGATACAGTCACGACTTTTTAAATACGTTACCTATTATCTAAACTTAAAAAATGGTCTATTAAAAACATTTTAAACATTAAGCTAGGATTGCATTTCATTGTTCGACTAAAGATGGGACGACTAATGTTTTTTAAAATAGATGATTATAATCTAAATATCATTATTAAATATATTTCAAATCAATAAAAAATACTTTCTCTATTTTGCCATTTCTGTTTGAATATTACCATTTCATAAAATTCTTTTTGCAACTTTAAAATTTGGCAGGTCAGCAAATTTTTCGAGTAACACTATTATAGTTAAATAAAATCTAAGCCATTTATTTAAATTATGTAATGCGAATATAATGAAAAGATTTTTGTAAAGTAAATATATAACGCGTTGTTAAACCCGAATTACCTCTTTATATGAACGGGATAACTGAAGACGATAATAAACGAATGTCTCGTGTTCGTCTTGTATAATTATATGTATAGTGCTAATAAATCAATACTAGTGTTGAAGAGGATTTAATGTGATTTGCAATTACAAAAGAGGCAAACGACCAAATTTATATGAAGATACAAGCAGACGTATCACAGTTTATGAATAAAACCTTGAGTTGCTCATGTATGAAGACACGATTACTCTTTATTAATATTCTAGTGGAAAGCACTAACTATTCACTTATTCACTATCGATTCGGGGGATTCGAGGTTATTGATTCATATCATGAACTATAGGTAATCGCTACAACGGGCATAACAGAGGTCTAATCTAGAAGGCATGGCAAATATTAACTTATATATTCTATATACCAAATATGTTAGATATGGCAAATACCAATAGTATTCGTGCAACTGCTGGGTAATATAGTAACTAACGATCTTGTTCACGTGGTTTCATGGACATTCAAATCTTCAAGATCAAATGACACACATTTTCTAGGTAACAACATTATCATTTGTGCAAACCAGATTTTTTTTTTGTATTGTGTACAAGGTTGATTGCACAGATCTCCTGAACTACGAATCAGATTTCAAGATTAGGTGTAACGTAACACGTTCAGGAAAATTCAAAACAAACGTTCATTCTGCCAAAAATTCTCATAGCTCAAAAATGAGCATAAGAAGCCACCCTTTGTGCTCTAACAAAAATTTTTCATTGACAATCTTACTATATAAACGATCCATCTCGATCCTAAATTTAACCCTAACCTTAAGAATTTAGTTTTCGCCGCCGACCTTGTATACGATATGTATTTTTTGTACGTTATTACATAAGCGCAACTCCCGGATTAAAACTCAGTTAGCCAACCACGACTTGTAAATCATGCTCATAATTGCACGATAACATCGATCTTGGATCATGTATATCTTTCTTTTTTTTCAATATTCACTAGTGCTCCGCAAAATCAAATTAAAGTATGAGTTTCAAATCGAATATTTGGTCAAGTCAAATTTGATCAATTCAAATTTGATCAAATATTCTTGCTTGATAAAATGTTAATTGAGTACAAATACTTGATCAAATAAATTTGAATTAATCAAATATCTAATTTGCAACTCAAACCTTGATTTTATTTTCGGAATAATCGTTTCAATTCGCAGCATATAAATTGATTTTCAAGTTTAGGCCAGACATATTAAATTATATGTTTTACATTACCCCCCTCTCCCCTTCAGAAGAGGGGGACGTTGAGGAGGGGGGACGTTGAGGGGGGGGGGGGGCTTAAATCGCAAAAATACCATTCTTGATTGATTGTTGATACTATTTCTCTAAAAAACTATGTTACTATTGAGTTTACACAAACGTTATTCTCTATGTGATTAGCGACAATGAAAATTTACTATAATCAATCAAAATAAGAATTGTAATTGATACTTGAGCGATCCATTAATACTTTATCAAATGCTGTTATAGCTACGTTTAGTTCGTTAGCATTCAGTTGTTGTATAATAAGGTTACTTGTTCGATCTTTGTTACTCAATTAATTGTAAGCCTAAAATTGAAATGATAAACTCTTTTATTAATTTTTTACTAATTAAAATATATTAATTATGTAATAAACTTTATTAAACTACGATGTTTATTTAAATATTCGTTACGATAATAAATACATCTGACCTCTTAAAATATTTTCCGCTAAGTAAAATTTATTCTCCGACAATTTTTGTCCATTGATTAAGGCGTTTGAGAACGCTACGGAGTAAAAATTAGTAGCCCTTATTACTTCCTAATCCAATTGTAAAATGAATGTAGTTTTCGACCATGAAGTAAAAGTTTTGGCACAATTAGTATTGCTCGATTGGATCTTTATTACGAAGGAAAAAACATATGGGAATTGGGATTGCCATGACATAGTACTTCGAAAATGGTCGTTTGTTTCTGTTCTGTCTGCTTGTGTTCTGACAAATAATTATTGTTTGGACCATCACATTAATAGGTCACATATACCGAATAAATTTAAGAATATCTGATGTTATACATAGGTGTCTAAATTATTTTGCTTTTGGCGTAAATAAAAATGTCTAAATTGTTTTTGGACAGTCTAAATCGAAAATAATTTAGGATGTCGAAAATAATTTAGACTACAAAAATTATTTTGCCATGTCAAATATATTTTAGAACATCTAAAATATTTTAAAATACTTTCAATGACAAAAATTAAATATAATATTTTAGAAGACTGATTGATTGTAATGAATATTAGCGAAGTTTTTACTGAGCTTTTATGTGTTAGTATATTTAGGATCTGTTATACTGAAATTTAACATGTTATAAATTTTAGTTATAATAGTAAAAATGAGTTCAATAGTAGGTAGGTAGTTCATGACTTCAGTGGTGGTGGATTCATTTCATAATTTGATATGTTGGTGATTTTAGCATTATGTTATTTAGTAATCTCAAGGATACTTAGTTTCAGTAGAAGGTGAGTTTATAAATTCACTATGGAGAGTTAAAACAGCATTTAGTATATAGTATGCAATTCAGATTTGGGGTAATCATATTTTAGATTAATAATAGTATTCCAATGTGAGATAGAGAACTGATTTGTGTTTGGAAGATATTTGTGAATTTTGTCAATGATAATCTCTTCATTATTGATGAATTAATTAATTTAACTGTGAATGTATTAGTGATTTCAAAAGTGAATTGGTAATTTAATGTTGAATGAATTCAGACCAGGGTAACTTCATCATGATTAGGCCATGATAATATTTTTTAAAATTATAAGCATAATTGATTTAGTAGTTTATTTTTTTCTTCAATTTTTTAAAATCATTAAAAGCATAAAATCCAATAATTACTATTTTAAAAATATATAAATTTTCAATAACAATAAACAAAAAAGAATGGAAATTGAAACAAATTAAAACAAAAAATCTTATAGGTTTTATTTTTAATGCTTTTCTAAAAGATTATAATTCTGATTATTGATTTGAATTCAGAATGCAACAACAAACAATTATTGAAGAAAACAAATAGTAACAAATGGTTCAATAATATTAATAAAATCATTGTGTCATTATATAATTTGGAAGATTATAATCATTTTAAAAATATTTCAAATACTCAAAAAAAACTGTAATTATAATACTTTCTAGCTATAATAAATATTACATTTATTGAATTATTTGAAACAAATAAAATGATTAATTTATTATCTCGTTATTATTTTGTTAGTCTTTATAATTTAGCAAAGTTTTGTTATCATTGGGTTTTATCTTTGCTTAACTAAATTCTTTTTATAAAAAAATTTATACTTTCATTGTTATCTATATAAAAAAAATTAAAATTAGAAATGCATTATATTTTACAATAAGCATAATCAAATAAAAATAAAATAAAATAAAAAAGATGGTAAATACAAAAATATATTGATGAAGTTATTGTTATATAAGAAAAGGTCATAACTGGTTTTCTCATCCAGAATCAGTGGACCCTTTTAATAAAGAATGGTATATAACTAATCCCTTTTCCTCCTATCACATAAATCAGTCAGCCTTTCTCTGACTTATTTATATACAAATTTTACATCTAGTATTTGTATATTCTATTCAAATAATTATTAATAATATACTTACTTTTTTATTTAAATATTTCAAATAAAAGCCTGATATTAGTATAGTAATCTTGCAAAGTACATTTACTAACACTTCTTCATTATAAAATTTAAAAATACAAAGTTATTTTAAAAGTTCAACAAACATTTATTTTGATTGATTTACATTGGTTAAATTTATTGCTGATCATCACATGACCCATAAACTTGCTTGAATAATGGGCTTTATTATGATTGATTGATTTTGAAGATTATCTTATAATATTAAAGTCATATTAAGAATAGATTTGGTGCCATGAATATGAATTCAGTAAAGGTAAGAAAAATTTTTTTAAAAGTTTAAGCTTTATCTTATATATTGTCAAAATAATTGAGGTAATTCAGAAGTTAAATAAGAATGTAAAGCTTAGTCTATAAGTTATCTTTATTTGTGAAAAATTATTCTTTGTAATATAATTAATAAAGAAACTTGACTACATAGATCTAAGCTAATAATAAATAAAATGAAGTCAAGATTTAAGTATAAGGTTTATAGAATTTATAAGAGTTAAAATAAAGTAATAGTACTGTAATTGTATAATATTATTAAATAAGTAAATATAAAGATCAGTTTGAGCTAAAAATTTCTACAGGTTATTTTTTTATTAGTTATTAATGTTCTAAAATAAAGTTTAAACATTTAGGCCATTTAAAGTTAATTATTAGTTTAACATAATTCCTCCCTTCCGATTGCTGTCTCCCAAAAAATAAACACCAATTAAATTTTAATATTTTTGTATCTTTTTTTTTTTTTTTATCTAAAAAATACAAATTACAAAGTCAACCTGAAGATTTTATAATAATTTTTTCCAAATTAACTTTGGGCAGATTATTAATATATAGTCATAATAGATATTAGAGTTGGAGATAAGTGTTGCAGAGATATATACATATATAATTCATTAATTATAATTATGATAATCATCATAATGTAGACTTATTCAGATTATTATGATAATATATTTTTTGTATAATTTGTAGTCTATTTTTCAATTAATATACAGACCTTGAATAAAACTTGTACTGTATCTCATAAAAATCATGTACTGGCAAGAAAGTCAATGTTAAGTGTTGAAAAGGCAAAGTGTATCAGAAAATTAGGTAAATAAACCTTTAAGTAAATTTAAGGTATTAGTATGAATTCTGAATAAAGCAAAATAATTACAATAAAGTACTTATCTTGAATACTATAGTTTTAAGCTTTAAAATTTTTCTAAAATACTTGACAATTATGGACAAACAAAAAATTGGTTGGTTATGACAATTATATATGAGTTAGAGGCATATAAAAAAAAAAAACTCTATAAAGCCAAAATTGATTAATTCATTCAAATTAAGCTATTATTTTTTTTAAAAAATTATATATATATTTTTCATATATATATATACATCCTAAAAATTTTTGAATATTTATTCATAATGATAATGTTATACTTATTTGTAACTGTTAAGTGTGAGTCTCAAATTTTTTCCACAATATTATTAGATGTCTTATTTGAAATAATGACTATCTTATATTTCAAGATCTTTTACAACAAGCTGATGTTAAATATAAAAGTGATGAGATACTAAAAATTGAAGTTCATTGTGTAGAAAATAAGCAGTACAATATGGTTGCATCTGGAGTTAAGAGTAGTTTAGTGTTATGTTGAAAGAATAAAAGAAATATATCGCATATATGATTTACAATTAAAGACAAACCTGTTCAATCAAATAACTCAAATAATTATACAAATACATTTAATATTATGATGGAACATTCTATGCAGCATTCACTTCCTCTTCCAAAACCTGGCAATACTAAATGAGATAAATTATATAATAATATACTAAATGTATTGTAAGAAAAAAATTGTGAATGGTTAAATGAAAAAGAAACTACAATAGGAAAGCAATTTTTAGAAAATCTTAATGCTCTACTTTGGGAGCTTGACAAACATTATCAGAAACTACAAGCTTAGGGTTGTCAAATTCCTATATTTGTTTTATTTTTACATAAATATCAGGACAATTAATATTATAAGAAAGAATCTCATCATAAAAAAGAAATTTTGTAACATTCTAAATTAGAATTGTTAGTAAAAGCTATTGAAAATTGTATATCTCAATCTTAGACAACAAGCAAATTATGAAATAAATTTATAAATAATGTTTTTATTTTAATTTTATGTATTTAAAAATATATGGATTATTTAAAAAATGTTAACAAAAGTGTTAATTCAATTTATAATACTATGTAATCTGCATATAACCTATTAAATGATAGTAAAGTTAAAATTTGAATGGAATGCTTTAGACAAGATCTTAAAGAATATTATAAAACATTAGCTACAAAAATACATGAATCAAATAATTATGAGGTTGTTTTGTTAGATAAATTTTTACCAAAAAATAAATATAAACAACATTCTTTTATTCAAAATTTACAATTAGATTCAACAGTTATGCTTTATCAATATTATCATAGTAACTATCTTGAGACCTTAAATTTTATATAGCATGTTCTTTTAAATCCAGATAAAAGATCAGATAATTTGCAAGCAAAAACAATAATTGAAATTCAAAAAAAACTTCTTTATTATTTTACTCATAAAATAAGAAAAAATATATTTGAAAAGATAATTTTTATATAGTTTTAATAAAACAAAATAAATTGTTAAAATTAAAGTTATTTATTTTTTATAGTACTCACTTTTAACTCAAATTACACCAAACATTTTGTGTTTATTATATCATAATTTGACTGGTAATTCTAGTACTGGTGTTAATGAAAAAATAAAGCAAATAAATGAGTGACTTAGACTTATATTAGAATTAAATGATTCAGAAATTGTTGTAGATCTTCAAACTAATAATGGATTTAAAGGTATCAAGTTTGATATATTTTGGAATGAAGTTGCAATATATTTTAAAAAGGTTAGTTATACTGTATATGTTTGAAAATAAGCTGCCTTTTTGGACAATTTTAAACATAAAAAATTGGAATAGCTTATTTTTGGATTAAAGCAATTTTTAGTCAATTGCCAATAGTTGATATATAGTAAAGTCTAAATTTTATTATGTAAATTGATTAATATCACTTAAATAAAGTTATTTGAAAGGTCAAAATACATTTATCCTAAAATTTTTATATAAATCAGAGAACTTTTATTAATTGACTTTTAATTTTTACTTTCAACAAATATGGTTTTTTAAAGAAATTTTAATTTTTTTGTCAAATATAAAAATAAAAAGTCAATTAATAAAAAGTTCACTGATTTGGATAAAAATTTTAGAATAAGTGTATTTTAATTTCCTGAACAAGTTTTTAAGCAACTTTAATCAATTAGCATAGTAAAATTTGGACTTTACTATGTAGCAATTTTATTAATCATAGGGTAACTTATTTTTGAGTTAAAGGATTTTTGACCAAAAAGTGAGGGTAGCTTATTTTTGAATACATACAATAATATATTATTATATTATAAAAAATATAATTTTAACTAATTTAAATAAATATATATTTTAGAACATGCCAGTAGTTCAAAATAGATGTCATGAATTTAAACTTTATATGCCAATTTTTATATCTGTTCGTGATCTAAAAAATATTATAGTTTTAAGATTAAATCAAAAAAAAAATAAAAATATAATTGGAGATTTTTTAGCTCCATTAGAACAATGGATTTCTTTACAATTTTATTCAAAAAATCTATAGTCTAAATCTAGTATAAATTATGTTAGATGATTTGAAATAAAATACAAAGTTCAAGCAAGACAACTTAGAAAATTACATTCAGATGTACATTATTGTTATGCAATATTTAAATATTTTCATCATTTTGCAATAAAGTTTAAAGAATATACAGCAATAATATTTGCTAATGATAAATATAAGATTCCTATTGGTGAATATATTGCAACATCAACTGGAATACAAAATAAATGTGTAGCTATACCTCTTTCAACTACATTAAATTCAGAAGATCATAATTTTACAAAGTTATTTTTGACACCATCAGTAATATTATTAGCTACAATACCTGAAGACCCTACAGATTTATTTTATAATAGACAAGTTTTTGTAACATATAAAAATACAGTTTTTCAATCCAGTTCAGCTCTGCAGCATAGTATAGAATTTTATAGCACATTAAATACTTTTTATAGTGAATTTTTATTTAAAATTTTAATGGTTTATACAGATAGTGAACCAGACCACAAATGTACATTTGGTTCAGTTCAAATTTCTTTAATATGTCTTTTTTTAAAAAATAATTTTGATATGTTAATAGCTGCTAGAACTGTACCATATCATAGTTGGACCAATCCAACAGAGTGTATTATGTCAATAATTAATCTTATACTACAAGATGTAGCTTTACAATGTAACCAAATGACTAAAAAGTCTGAATTAGTATTTGCTCAACTTAAATCTTTAGAATCAATTCATGAAGAAACAAAAAATAATTTAAAGTTAAAAATAGAATTATCTGCATCAATTAAAGATATTCAAAATATTTTAAATGAAGAAAATGTGATTAAAACTTCATAATGATTATTCTTTAATAGATAAAACTGTTACAGACTTAGAAATTGAGCAATTTTTTAAGGTATTATTATTTATTATAATTATACAATACAATTATAAGTTAATTATAAATAAATTATATATATTTAGGTTATTTATAAAATTGATCCAAATCTTAAACAAACAATGACTACATCAAATTCTTTAAAAAAACAATAATTTTATAATAATTTTTTAAAATCATATTGTCAACTTCGAACCTATATATTTCAAATTAAAAAGTGTATAAATGAAGAATGTTAAATATGTTAACCAATTCGAATGCCATATGATCAATTTGAATTATTATCTTTTTTACTTGATCCCAAAATTTCTACTGATAATATATTATATTAAAATTTTAAATTATTAATTTATTTTATTAATAATTTTAAAAACATTTTATAAATAAAGAACATTATAAAGAATTTGATGAACTATATGAACAATTAACTAATGAACAATGCTAGTTATTACATTAAGAAACTATAAATGAAGAATCTCAAATTGGTATTTTTATAAATACAAAGATTAGACTTCTAATTTGTTGTGATTTTTGTAGAAAATATTGTTGTATTTATAGTAATACAGCTCTAGATGAAGAAAATTCTAAAAATATTATACAATACTTTGAAAGTATATCTTATAGTTGTGGGTCACCAATTCTTTCAGAAGACCATTCACTTTTTGATCAACTTCATATACACCAAAGTATTACTTGTGATTCACCTATTGAATGGAATTATTGCTCAAGTTGTTTAAAGGATGTTGATTTGTGTTACTGGTGTGGAGCAGAAGATGGTATTATTGATCCTTCTGATGGACTAAAATTACAGTTTAAAACTATTTACCCATTATGTGCTTCATGTCATGCTAATGATCATGAATGGTCTACTCGTGCACCAGTTGTATTTCGAGCAAAAAAATAAGAAAGCTCGCACTTAACATGTATATTGAATATAAGTCAATAAATCTTATCATTTATATGAGTTAAATCGAAATTTGCAATTATGTTTATTTATTATGTTTGTTTAAATTATCCCCCTCCCCCCGTGTCTGAGCCCAAAATATTGACGTTAAACTAATAATCAACTTTGAATGGCCTTACTTCTTGTATTTTATTGTTTTTCTTTTTTGATTCATATATGATAGGATTTTTTTTTTAATAAAATTTTGAATTGCTAGAATTTTGTCTATGGCAAGGTTACAGTTTTGGTTTAAAGTTATCGAGATTTAATAGTAAAATTTTTTCCTTTATTCGTGACGATTTAGTTAAAGTTTAAAATTTCGAAATTTTTACGATATCACAGGATAATTTACAAAAATTATCCAATCACAATGAAAGCCCGCTATACTGTATACTAATTAGGAGTGAAGTTTGTACATCCTTTAAACACCTCAAGTGCCTTTGATACTAATTTCATATATTTTACTAGTTTATTCATTTAATTAGTGAACATAAAGTTATTTTCATTTTAATTTAAGAGTGTATAAACAAGGATCTTTACAATGAAAAATTATACATATTACAGTCCAGAAGTCATTTGATAAATGCCCATAAATTATCATAACCTATTACAATTATAATGAGTTTATGACATTATATCTGTACCTTTAAATTTGACATAACTTTCAAGCTCACTTTAAATCTTACATGTAGCATATTTCCCAATTCCTTGATTCGTACAACTGCATTGAGCAGCTACTTAATAATGATAAAAAAATTGCAATGCAATGTATATAGAACTAGATATATATTTAATTTTATTGAATAATCGACCATATATTGCATATCCCAATAACGCAGCAACACATACATTTACTAAATACAACGTTTTATTCTTATTTTGCGTGATATTGTACAACTATTTTATTCAGTATGAAAACTTATTCGATCATTAAAGATTTGTTAATTTGAATATAAATATATAAATGTTTATTCAATATTATATCGATACAATCTAATAATCATACTCATCCTAAACTCCTTTAAGTAACTCAAGCGCCTAGTTAGATAGTAAAAAAAAAAGCCGGGTCTCTTTAACTTGTACGTAATTGACCTTGATGGTCGTGTGATTTTAATACTCTTCCGAGTTTAATTCACGAGTCATAAGTTAATTTCTGTATTCGGTTGTTTTTACTTCATGATGTAGAACAGAATTTTCATACGTGTTTAATAAACACGTCTGCTTCAATGGATTGCTTTGATTATTTTGATTGCATCTAACGAAATAATGCTGAACAGAACACTGAACAAATTTAAAACTAAATTCAGCATGATAGTGGATCTTTTTAATATACAGTACATAATATAAATAATAAAATAAATAATAAATAAAATAGAGATAATAAAATTATCATAAGTCATCATTAAATTCCACGGCTGATTTAAAAATGGCTCGCAAACAAAAAAAATTAAAAAATCGGAAATAACTATAAGAATCAGACTACCGTTGTTAGAGTGTCGAAACAGGCCATTTGTAAGAGAAACTGTATATATTGTGACAAATATTAAGGCTTACATTATAATTTTCGGATTTAATTTGACTTTTGATGCCATTTCAAAAGAATCATCAGTACTTATAATAATTCTTTGTGCGACTCAACCCGAACAAATTAATTAATCTGTTATTGATTTTCATCTGATACTGAACCATGCGTAGTATACTATAAAAGTTTTACGTAGTTTTTTTTTTGAAATAGATGTACAACCCTAACAGCCTAATGATTTTGGATTAAAGTTTGAAAGCTAATATTCTACCAAAAATGGATTCATAACTACTAGTCTTTACAAACTTTTATCCAAAAATATTAGTTATGATGGCTTACATTTATTAAGTTTTAATGCACATTTAAACATAATATATTATTAACATAATATGAATATCGATTAAAGTGAATAACATACTTAATATTACAGTCGTTCGTGTTTTTTTGAGGATGAATTTGAATTTTTTTTATTTAACGCTATTCTATATTTTACTTTAGGAAAAATGGAATAAAAAAAAAGCTTAATAATTAAACTCGAGACGACTCGTGGCTTAAAAAATAGTCTTGACATAGGATGGTACATGGTTTTTTAATAGCCACGAGTTGACTCGAATCAAAGGAAATTAACAAGATATATATGTAATAAATAAAGAATTACATTAATAATAATTAAAAAATATTGATCAAATTTATAAATTTATTTATCTTTATGTTCTTTACGTTTTATAACTTGAAAAACCTCATAATCATCTATTGAAAACTTTTCTTCTGTTCTAATTGGCCTTTCATAATACCAATGATAAGATTCACCAGTAATAAAATTTTCAGAAAAACATAAATCACCACGAAAATATGGACCATGATGTATTCCTGATTTAATCGATTCATGATGTTTAGCTTTACTGAGTATTGAATTTTCTGGATGCTCATAATTCATACTAAAAATAAAACTTTTAGTCGTATAATAATATTTTGATTCAATAGGGGATTCCCAACTAAATGGATTGTAACCACCTAGGATTTCTCCTGTATCTTTAACCTTTAAAATTGTTACAGTAGGACCCTTGTCGTCACATCTACGATGAAAGGCAGAAGCTGTAAATCCATCTCTACTCCCTCTTACAAGTAGGTGAAAATGATGTTGAATGTTTGTTACATTGTAATTCTTTGGTGATGTAAAAAATTTCAAAACTTTTGATTTATATGATTTTGTTTGATTAATCCAGCTAGAAATAAGCGTGAAATGTTCAATTTTTATAATATTAGATGCAAATGGTATATCATCCTGGGGTTTGAAGCTCTCTGTTAAGGGTTTAACGATTTCTGGTATGAATTTAACTTCATTAGAACCCGGCTCGGTGTTACGTGAGCTTGACCCAGAACTCAATTGAGGTGTATCATTATTATTAACCTCATCTTCAAGCTGTTGAACCTGTTGAACCTCCACTTCTGTCTCTTCCAACATTAATTCGCATAAAATATCAAATACTTCCTGAATATCCGGTCTTTTATCAGGATCTTGATCCCAACAACGCGTGTATAGTTCAACGTATTTTTTCGGTGTATCTTTCTCTGGAGTTTCCCTTAATCCCAGATAAATTTGAACGGATAACTCATCTCTACCCATAGATGTGAAAGGTGGCCGACCACTTGAAATTTCCCAAAGAATAACTCCGAAACTGTAGATATCAGATTTTTCATTTCGTATATAGCTGTGATTATAAAGGTATAAAGGATCCATATAAGCAGGCATTCCCTGAGCTGTTTTAGTATTTGTGCTCATAGATTGTACATCCAGCTGTTTCGACATGCCAAAATCAGCCAGTAACATTCTACCTTCATGAACTAAGACATTTTTAGAATGCTGTAAATAAATTAAATAATATTAATTAACGTAGTTAATGTATTTATTACTGTAAGAATCAACTAATAATTTTACTGTATTAAAAAAAAAAAATTAATCCTACAAGATCTCGGTGAATAATCCTTTCTTTACTTTTATGTAAGTGTATAAGACCCCGCGCAATTTCTTTTGCGATACGTAATTTGTCATTCCATGTTAGTTTTTCAAAATTATGTTTTAAATAATCACGTAAGTTTCCTCCATCCGCGTATTGTAAGATTAAATAATAACGATTATTGATATTATCTACACCTATCCCAGAAAATTGGTTAATATTTGGATGATAGTGCAGCCTGATACTGCTACTACATAAAATTATGAGCTATATAATTTGTAAAGTATAAATTATTAATACAATAATATAAATAACTCATAATAAAAAAAATAAATAATTAATGTTATATATATGATTATGATAATTATCTAACCTCTCTAATGAATTCTTTAATATCATTTTCATCCTTTTCATCTAAAATTATATCAACTCTTAGGCTTTTAAGAGCAACAGTATATCCACGAGTTGTCCAGTATGCTTTCTGTACTTCACCAAATCCACCGACACCAATTTTCTTAAAATCAGTAAATTCATTATAATCAAATACATATAATTTGTTTTGTTTAATAATTTCTTGGAGCGAATCAGTTAAAGAAGTGGCCATAATTTTTCGTCATGTTTGTTTATCTACGTCTTTAATATGTAGTACGTTTGGTATGACAAAATACTGCGACTTTGAAAACACTATCACAGTATTGGTATCAGATTTCACAATAACCGATAACGATAACTTTGTATAGATACATGTACAAACAAGGAAAATCATATCGTACGGATTAAAAGATCCGAGTTCTACGTAACACAAAACGCCTAACAAAAATTTACCGTGCATAGGATTTCTCATTCATGAAAAAAAGAGCTACCCATAATTAATGAATTCCAGAATGGTGTACAGTTAAAACTCGATACAGCAAAGTCCACATTCAGACCTGATGCTTTCGTTATATAGAAAATGCGGTTATCAGAAGACAAATCTATATGTTCAAACACATTTATGATTCAAAGAAATTTTCTGATATCTGTACTAAAATCGAGCTACGTAGCGGCAAAATTACTTACCTTTTAACTGGAAATGGGCAAGGTTACTTATTATTAAATCACATTATTATTATGAAAAACTGTAAACTGTATCATGTTGATCATGTGGTACAGCCATCTGATCAGATCACGGGTGTAGGCTACCCCTGCTTTACATTTCGATTTATGATAAATGTTTATTAATTATGCAAAATAGCTGTTATAAAGGATTTGTTATAGCGGATCCCTCTCTATAACGGGGAAATCTATATTTTTATTATTATACTACATAACGTTATAGTGAATATTTCAGTGGATAAAGTTTTCCAGCCCGATCACTACGTTATAACGAAGGCAAAGAACCCTATTGTCTGATTTTTAAATTTATAAAGTTTGGCTGGACCAATTTAATTTTGTGGATTACATTACCCCCCCTAGTAAAAAAAATTTTGGGATAAAGATTAGAGATTGAAATCCATTCAAAAAAATCACTACCCGGTCACCTGGCAGATTGAACCCACGGATCACCTGGTATATCAGGGTAGAGATTTGAACCACGGGTCACCCGGGTGATTAATAGAAAGTGTTACAGCCCAAAATCTAAGACCAAACTACTTTTTAAAAATCTTTTCTCATATCCCGGCCGTGTCAGTAAAATAGAAAATTTTTATTTTTTTAATATGCTGACCAATAAAGATCTTTTATTTGAATCGTGTGATTAGCACAAACAATCATACGTATCGTGCCTATACTTGCCGCACAAATCCCAAACTCAAGCCCAAATTAATATCTCAATAACTTTATTAATCATCTTTATTTAAACAAATAATTTATATTCTTATAGCTATATATAATATATTTACAAAATATCAAAATTATTTTGTTGATTTAATTTTTTATAAAAGCAATTTGTTTTTTTGAGGTTTGGGATTTGTCCGGGTTTTGCCAGCAAGTATAATCGTGCCTAGGGTTGTTAACTTATATGTAAGTTACTGTAACTTACACTCTAACTTAATGACTTATGTAAATTACAGTAATTTACATGAAATTTACATGTATGTTACAGTAACTTACATGTAACTTACCACGTAAGGTACGATGTAAAGAATGTTGTTAGGCAAGTTTTAACAACCCTAATCGTGCCAGAACGGAGTATTATGTAAATGACACGAGGTGTATGGCTTATTCACGATATAGAATTGTATGCGGCATTGCTTAAAGCTAATATTTATGCCACAATACTTCAAGTCAAAATTAATGCTGTAAGTATATCTAAAGGTATTTATGCAATGATTTATGAAATTGCCAAGTTAATTTCAGAAATTTAGATGCAGAAATACTTTTACAAAGCCGAAATAAAATTACAATACCAAATGGCGATCATCAATTTAGTTTATGGCATGTATTTTGGATTTCAGGTTTTGTTTTAGATTGCGGCATAAATTACAGCTTGCGGCTCTATTTCTACCTAAACATCGGTGACTACAAAACCGCAATTACGTTTATTTTCTACAGATTCTATATGGCACAACTTTTTTCAGAAAGAATAACATAATTCATATGATTAGTCATTTTCTTTTCCTCCAACTTCATCAATTGACCCATAAGCATTGCACATTTTAGGTCCGAGACCAGGAGTATCATATGGATGTTAATTTCAGCAATTTTACCAATTTTACGTAATTTTACGAAATATTTGGTGATGAAAATTACATAAAATTTAATTTTCTAAAACTTAGGTAAAATTATATGTAATGTAAAATAGTAATTTATGTAACGCAACCTTTCATGCAATTCAAATTTAATATTTAACATCACATAAAATGATTGGATCAAACTTCATCATTTATTTTTAATAATCAACAAAATCCGTCAATACGAATAAACCACCAACCCATTAATGTTAAAACCATTAATCGATCTACTGTTGGAACAGTGAACTTAATGTTAAAATTATCAACATCCACATTATTAACTCTTAAAAATCGGCATCACTCATTGTTAAAATCATTACCACCAAATTATTAACCACCATTGTTGCAATCACTAATCACTCACTATATCCATCCGCCTTTAAAATAACAGCCGCACTTCTGCCAATAAAAAAACAAAATTTCATTATACTTAATAAACAAAAGAATTTATTTACAACCACAGGTTGACCCGCAGGTTTGATTTTCCGGATGAAAAAAATTCGTTAAAATTTACTATATTTACAATTCCATTTTTTACCCCCTCTTTTGAGAAAGGAATGTAATGTAAACCACCAAATTAAATTGGTCTTACTTACCGGACATAATTCCTAACAAATCAGATAAACTGAATACGGTAAATAATAATTTTGAAACCTCGATGGAAGATTTTCCCTTTGCGGCACTCATATATGTAATCTATTGTTAATTTAACAAGATTAAAGTTTATAAACATGTACTTTCTTAAATATTTTAATATTAATCTTTAATAACATTATATACTACTCTCTCTCTCTCTCTCTCCAAGTTCATAGGCAGAAGTTCGTCTGATTGGCTAATAAATTCAATTTAATTTTATATGATTTATACAGTTTAGAGTACTTTTTAACAAAACGAAAACTAATCATAATGAAATAAAAAAAAACCGTAAAGAAAGTTTCATTAGAGCTGTAGGACTTCATAGTCGAAAATAAGATCTAATTTTCGTCCGTTTAAAAAATTAGCTTAGTATAAGTTGATTTTATCGGGCTTTAAGAAGTTATTACTAGACTACCTTTTTTAAACGGACGAAAATTAGATCTTATTTTTGTCTATAGAGTCCTATAGCTCTAATCAAACCTTCTATACAGGTTTTTTTATTTCATTATGATTAGTTTTCGGGGGGTTTTTTTAAAAGTACTCTAAACTGTAAAATTAAATTGAATTTATTAGCCAATCAGACGAACTTCTGCCTATAATCTCCAAGTACATCATTACATCTTGTTTGGCAGAATATACTTAAGAAGATTTCACTATATAAACATCCTGAATACTCTATTAACTATTGTAGATATCTGGATATACGTGTCATCAGTTTATGGTACATTTATGAGTGTTGCAGTGTAAATTTGGAGCTTTTGTTTGAGTTTCCCATTTGAATATATGAATTCTACCAAACCAGTATAATCTATTCATACTCTTTATTCTCGATTCTAACCATAAATCCAGCCTGCCCCTGAAAACTGCATATAAAAATTTTCAAAATTCAATATTAAATAGATTAAAATTTCATAAACTAAACGATTATTACAGTTTGTTAAAATTCTATGGCTCCTATTATTATTTTTTTATAGAGTAGTGATTCTGATTATGCGATTTCCAACAATTATTTCTAGCACCAGGGGACACTAAACTCAGATTCATTGATATTTGGCCAACCTTATAAGCACAACGTAAAATCATAATCACTATTTGAAAAAAAATCAATAACCATGGGGTCGAATAATTTTGCAAAACGTGATAATTTTTTATTCGTTAAGTGTTGTTAAATAATATGTGAAATTTATTTAAACAGAATCCGGATAATAAATTACATGTAAATAGTAACTTGAATTTAAAAGAAAGTTAAAGTATGCACTACTGTATATTTAAATTACAAATACGTAACAATTTCACGTCTTTAAAAAATTTATTCAACTTCAGGAAGCTTAAGAGGCCTGCTTACTAAAATAACTTCAAGAGTTCATAGAAAGTTAATTACAATTTAAGACTAAGTTTTTAAAATGTAAAATATTATTACCTGCATTATCACATTGATTAACTGCATTTATTGGCTTAGGAAGCTTTTGAAATTTTAAAAATCGACTTGTGTAAATGGCTTGTTTGTGTGTTTGATAATTGAGTTGTGCTGAATTAGGCTGATAACAAATCGATGAATCTTTTTCTAAATTTTCGATTTCTTTAACTTGTTTATATATTTCGTTTATTTTATGGAATACATAATCTCGATAATTATTTAGTATATCTGATAATTCTTTAGCAGTAGGTCGATTTTTTGGATCTGCATCTAGACATTTGTTCATTAAATCTAAAAGTAATTGAGGAACTTTGTATCTGATTTCAGGTCTATAACCTAGACAAATAGATTTTGCTAGGTTATAATCATGTGGAATATCATGATATGGAGGATATCCTGTAAAAACTTCTGTCATGATTATTCCAAAAGAATAAATATCCGATTTTTGAGTATATTCTTTTCCATATAACACCTCCGGAGCAACATAAGGAAGTACTCCATAAATGTCTTTAGAACTTGAATCTTGTGATACTGGCCTACATAGGCCAAAATCTGTGATATAAGTATTCCTTATACTTTCACAAACTATATTTCCAGAATGTAAATCCTTATGCATTAAACCATACTCATGAATGTCACTAAGCCCGTCAGCTATGCAATACAAGTTATCTAACTTGTAATACCAATTTAATTTATTATATGTGTTATTTAATAATTTTCGGAGACTTCCATGCTTTGCATATTGCATAACTATCATATAATTATTGTCTTTTGGGTTCTTAGTTATTCCATAAATTTTAATTGCTGTCCATCCTCCATTTAAATGCTGATTTTCAATCTAAAATATTAATTATAAATAAACAGAATTGCTCTTCAATTACATACTTAAATATAAAATTAAAAATAAATATAATACCTACCTCCCTTAAAAATTCGTTTGTTAAACATGCTGAATTATGAAAGCTTTTTAAACAAACATATATTTGTGAGTTTCTTTTCCATTGGCTATTTTCAATATTCCAACCATTAATATATCCATCAGTCCATATTGCTTTAAAAACAGTTCCATATCCTCCTTTAGCAAGATATTTGATATTCGTGAATTTATTAAAAGGAATCCATTCAATAATTTTTTTATTCCCTGGTGAACTTATTGTTTGTATTTCCCGAAGAAATTTATCAATATCAGGATTACCACTCGTCCAATTATGAAACTCTCTCTTAAATCTTAAAAAAAATCAATGCATAAATATTATAATGATACTACCAAAAAACAAAATTAAAAATGTTATAATATAAATACCGCCTGGATAGAATTAAAATATACTTGTTATTTGGTTATTTAATTGTTTACTTTTAAAAATAGTTATAATTCTAAATCTGATTCCAAGTACTTACTCACGAATACTATGTGAATTGTGATGTGAATATGCGTATTAGTTTTAAATTACAGGTCGTCCTCATTAAGATCAACCCATTTGAATTGGTTTTAAATTATGCTGATAGTGATATTAATGAGAAATGAGATTAAAGTTGATATGTATGAGGGAATTTTAATATATAAAAATTTATAAAAATTTGTTCTGTGACTTAGATTGATATTAACGGAGTTGATATTAATGAGGGTGACCTATAATAAGTTTTTGTTTTAAAAATGAATTGGTTTTATGTCATTACAAACACTCACTAACTAATATGCAAATTGAGATGTTATTTATTTTTGAAGTAACAAAATTCATGGTTATGGCCCTAATACTCACTAACTAATAATATGTGAATTCAACCAACTAATAATATGTTAATTCAATTTAGTTATTTATTTCGTAGCAACAAGATTTCTGACTCCAACTACTTACGCAAGATAGCTATATGAATCGTAATTTAAAGTTATTTGTTTTTGAATTAACAATATTTCTGATTATAAAATGGTTATGACCGAATACTTACAGACTAATAGTATATGAATCGTATAAATTTTTTGTATTACTGTAATAAAATTTCCAATTTTAAAATATCTATGGCTAAACACTTACGACCTAATATAAATTATAGCTTAGTGTTTGTTATTTGTTTTGAATTAACAAGATTGTCTGATACTCACGCACTAATATGCAAAGTGAAGTTGAGTATGTCATTTATTTTTAAATTAATGAGACTTCTGTTCTACTCACTCACTAATAAGTGTGAATTATATGAATTATAATCTTGGGTTTATTTGTTTTGAATTACCAGTAAAATCTCGAAATAGCGAGCATGGGCGTTATTTCGAGATTCGGCCTGAATTAAGCTTAATTTAGACCGAAATTTGTAATTTCACCCTGCGCGTTATTTCGAGATTTTACGGTAGTATTTCTGATTACACCTTAAAATACTCACAAACTAGAGTTATAAGTTTTTTGACATTAGTGGAATTCTTATTTTAAAATATCCATAACCTTAAAATACTTACAAACTAGAGTTATAAGTTTTTTGAAATTAGTGGAATTCTTTATTTTAAAATATTTATATATAGATACTCACGGACTAATATGTGAATTGTGTAGTTTAGAATATGATGCGTTTTAAAAATATTCATGACTATATTGTAAATACTTACACGCTAGTATACGCACATGAATTGTAATTAGAATTATTATTTGCTTTTTGAATTAGACTTCGATCTTAAAAATTGTATAACTTAAAATACTCACTAACTAACACGAATTGTAATTTAAAGTTGGTTTTACATATTTTCATATTATTTAAATTTCAATTTTTAAAAGGTATATTTTAAAACTTACGGACTAATGTGAATTATAATTTATAGTCAGTTATGTTATTTGTTTTTTAAACTAACGAGATCTTCCGTTTTAAAAATGATTATGATTTCAATACTCACTGTCTAATAACACATTAATTGTAATTTAGAGTTATGTTTTCGAATTATTAATTTTTTTAAATGATTATTGCTTTAAATACTTACTTTCTAATAATGCATGAATTGTTATTAAATTATTTATTTTTTGAATTAACAAGATTTCTGATTACAAAATGGTATAACTCTTAATACTTACTCACTAAATTATAATTTAGAGAGGTGTTTAGTTTTTTCTGAATTGACGAGATTTCTTTCTTATAAATGGTTGCAATTATAAATACTAACCGTCTAGTATAAATATGTAAATTGTAATTTAGGGTTACATATATTTAACATTTATTTTTTAATTGATGATAATAATACTTACCGACTAAAAATTTGTAAATAATAATTTGAATTATTGGGGTTTTTTTGAATCAGTTGAGATTCTGATTTTTAAAATGGCTACAACACTAAATACTCACTAACTAATATAAAATACAATGCTTATTAGTAAATTCCAAAATTAAAATCCTTTTTTAGACGTTATGTATTATACTCACACTTCGTTAACTAGTTTATAGGCATTCTTTGCCCACAGGTCACTTGAATTAATTTCCAATTCATCTAAGTCTGCTAGTGATTCTTTATATTTTTTCATCATGTAATAAGTTTCACTTCGATATCTTAATGCAATTGCATTATTTGGCTCAATTTCTAGTAATTTATTCAGAGTAATAAGTGCTTCATTATATTTTCCTAAAATAAAGCAAGCTTTTCCTCGATAGATTAATTCATGTACATCATTTAATAATAATTGTGTTGGTTCATCATATAGATCAAGGACTTTAAACCTGTTTTTTTCCCATAATTCTTTGATAGTATCATCGTTGTTCATTGCTATTTACAAAAGAAGAATGATTCTAATAAATTTACATGTAAGAGTATCATTTATCTAGTGCTAAATGAATTTACTTGAATAATTAAACTTCTTATGTCCAAAATTTACTTCTACAGATCCGCTTTGCGATATTCCAACACACGGATAAATATCATCTTTTAAATCATCAGGTAGATAGCATGCAATTCCTTAAAATATGTTATAAATATAAATCATCTAATTACCTTTAAAATCGGTACAAATTAATTCTTAAAGTTATAATTACCTATATTTAATCCGTTCTTAGTATAAAATATCATCTTATTTCTAAAATTTAGATAGCATCCAATAGTATCCCCGACAGTGGAAGACAGCCCGTATGGCTCACCACTTCCACAACGATATGAAAATCCATCATCACTATGATAAGCCCATGTGTTATTTTTCTGTCCTATGTATGTAATAATAAAAGGGTTAAACTCACACATTTTTGTAAAAAAATAAATGTTGGTGTTACCAGGCATGGGTATGATATTTGAGTCTTCTATTTTTGCATTTAGGTTAATAGATTTTGTACAAAATCCGACGCCAATTAATCTTTCAAAACATAAAATCAAACTATAAGCAAGTAACAAATTTCAAAAGTAACAGTTTAAACGATAAATAATTACCCATTTTCCCCTTTATCTGTAATTGTAAGTTCAAAGTAATATAGTCCGCACTTTGGAGGAATTGGGTTATTCGATCGAACCGTGATGGCAATTTCATAGTCATCAGGTCCTTTTTATTCATGAATTATAGTAAATTAATGTGACCTTGAATAATGACTTTGAACGATGATGCTGCCCTCCGGCTTAATATTCTTTACGCACTTTCTCATCGATTAAAAATTCTTATTTAGAATAATTTAAACATATTACCTATATATTTCATCTTAAGCTCATTTGAATCGACATCAAAAAATGTTGAGTTATTATCGACATCCCATGCTGTTGGAAATTCCAATTCTTCCATTAGATTAATGTTTTTTTCTATTATTTTGTTTCGGTAAAAGAAATCATTATCAAAATATGTACCAAATTATGTAACAAATTATGCAGTACCAGTCTGTATAACATAGTACTATATTAATTTTGGCAATAGAGAGTATACAGACAGGGAATTTACAACTACGTACGTACACGTATTTGATTGATCTATACCCCAGGTAATACATATATAACGAATAACGAGTACGTAGCATAAGAGATACACTGCATGTCGTTAAGCAAATTATCTTAGACTCTTACAATTTTATTTATATATCATATTCAGAAAAAAATTAATCTAGCTTTTAGCTGCAATTGTAGTTGTTCGAAACTATTATTTGAATTTTTAAGTCCAAATACAGTTCACATGGAACAGTGTAATAGTTTAAAATGGTCTTAGATATTAACTGTTGTAAAATTTAATATAGATTATAAATGAGAACAAATGTTATTTTATTGCGCACAAAACGTTTTGATAAAGAACAATATAAAATTTAGACTGCACAAACATTTAATAATATTCTACTTTAATGTCAAATACTATTCGAAGTACTATTCGAAACACGCTAATATTGAAGTAATAAAAATTTAGCATATCCAAGTCATATAACTAATTGTGATATATTTTAACCTGACATACGTAAATGGTTACTCTATGCTCCAAAATACGATAAATATGTATCAGTTATAGAATTTTATCGCATTGTAACTCAAATTCCCGACATAATTCCAATAAAGTTAGCTGGCGTTAGCTATAAATCTGGTTTATTTAGTCCTATCGGAAAAACATACCAATACAGTAACATGTTATGGGCTCGTATATTTAATAAATAGAACCTACGTTTTTTCGTATTAGAAATTCAAATTGCATACTGATAATTTTAAGGACTAGATTTGAATGCCTAATAACCCACATTAAAAAAAATAATCAAATAGATATTGATATCTTATGCATTCCCAAAAATGAAAACATGAAAATATCAATTTCGGATAAAGGTTACTATCCTTGAAGTGTTTGATTCAAATATTTATTCGAATGAATGAAATTAAATTGACGATTATATAATGTAGATAAACGCTAGGAGATAAACACTAAATGATAAACAATATGAGATAACCCATATAAATTCTGTTTGGTCGGCCATATTCACATGATGCATTATCGTCATTAGTGTTACACATTGAACTCGATTTTGATTGACAACGGCTGTAATCGATCAAAATTATGACCCCATTATACATAATTTAGGCAGGAATTAATTTTTTTATTTTTTAATTCTCAAAAAAATTAAAAAATTTTAAGGTTTAGGCCTGTCTAATGATAAAATTAGCCTAGGACCGTTTTTCACTTAATGGGCAACCACAATTTCATTGGTAAAAATTTGAATAAAATTATTGATCGTTGCCGTTGGCCAATTAAAATCTGCGCATTTTTTGTGTGGCACTTAGGTTTAATAGTGTAACACCATCATTATACTTCAGGAATGGTAAAATAACCTGGTCATTTGATCAAAATTTAAATGACCTCAAGTCATCAAATAATAACTAGTCATTTGGGTCATTAAGTCATTTAGGTCATTTGCATATAATAAATAGTTATTAAACAGGCACTGCCTAATAAATAATTTTATTGATTGAATTAATTTCCTAATTGATAATTGTAACTATATATAAAAATCAAAATTTTTACTGCTAATTAATATTAGTGCCTTAAGTTGTTTCTCTATTATTAGCTTCGCATTTGCATTTAAATAAAAAATCAAAACCTTTTTTTATTAAATTAAGAGTTATTCAAATTGCATAAAACATTCAGAAAATAAGTAATTTGTTATTCTAAGCACATTTACTTAATACATAAATATTGAATGACTTAGTATATTATGATTTTTTATATATAATTATGATTATTAATTAAGATTTCATAAAAATTAATATTTATCTTGTACTTAATTTTAATTTGCTAAAAAGTATTAAAATATCAATTAACAGACCTTTTCGGTCATTTAGGTTTTTGAAATGACTGATGACTAGTCATTTGTCATTTGAGTTATCAGAACATTTCAAGTCATTTACCATCCCTGCCAGAATATACACCTTTATTCACTAAGCTTCTTGATATACATTTATATATAGTAATATATTTGGAGATACAAAATAAGTTAGGTAGAATTTATAAAAGAGATAAGCGTAAAACATATATACGTGCATATTAATGCACCAGTAGACTTATACTATTTACAAATATTTCATGTTGACGTGTTAGAATTAAATTTTACATAGGTTTGTATAAATAATTCAAATTTTAGACTAAAGATTCTGATCAACTATGTATGAATACAATAAACATTTATTTTTCTACGTTGTTAAATATATTAAGTCGACTATTTTTCTTTATGTAAGACTTAAGTCTAAAGATGGCTTCCTATATAAAACGTTGATTGCCTACTTTACCCTTGCACTTTAAACACGATTTATTTTGCCACAAAATATCACGTATCTATAACTTTTTAGTGATACTACGATAAAAAAAAACCAGCTCATTTGCATATTAAATTGGCACACTAGGATCCGATCCAAGTTATCAATAAATTTGGTATATATAAATAAAAATGCAATAAAATACCATGAATTGATTTAAATATGTACATAGAATAATTTTTATGTTAGTAATTAAATATACAGATAAAATAAAATTTGAAAATAGTAATTAAGTTAAAATTTATTAGTTAGCCATTTAGTAGTTGAATATAGAGTTTATTTTGGCTATATTTTTTAGTAAAAAAAAAATTTATACTTATTTGCTAAATCATTTATATAGAATAACAATTTAAAACCGGAGCAATGCGACGAGTCATATGCTAGTTCTTTAAAAATACTTTAAAAAGAATTCCATTGTAAGACAAGTATCTTTGCCAAACACAAAAATAACATCAATGGTATAGGTCAATTTTTTGTTACGTGGCAAAAAATCGGATTAGGAAAGTGACATTTTCCTAATATATTTTTGAATTCCCCTTCTGACCTATCACGACAAAAACTCATTATGTGGCTTGAAACTCAACGTAATTTGAGACACCCACATGAGCCTGTATCACATTTATTGTTCTGAAATTGGCTGAAGCTGAAAACTTGAGGGGTCTTAATTTAGGTCCATAAAACCTATAGATGCAGACATATTGTCGTAATTAATCACGACCTACATTAAACCAGATTTTTTATATTGAGGTAGGTTGCGACATAATTACGATAATATGTCTGCATCAATACTAAAATCTACTTATACTTGTTTATTATAAATTCTACACATAAAGCTGATCCCTAACCCTAAAAAAATGTCAAAAAAATGTCCCCTAAAACATTTTAAATTTTCGTAATAAAATAGGTCAAATTTTCAGCTTCAGCCAATTTCAGCTTCAGCCACCACATTTACTGATAGCCACGTACGTACGTACGTACATACGATAAAAAAAAAAAACTCGATATCGATACAGTATCGAAATCTAAATTAGAGTTCATTGAATTCTCGTCCTTTAACATTAAAATTTTCAAATATGATAAAAGCAAGAACAGGGCGCGAGAAGCAGGTTTATAAAGATTCCATACGTCAAGTTAGTTACGACAAATTTTTTTGATATTTTTTTTAGTGGTTTAAGATAGATAGATTACCACCAATTCTTTTTGTTCGCATTCATTTTATTCATTGTAATTAGTATAACTATTTACGGCACATGATATTTTTTTAAATCTTAGGTAGTAGGATGTGTACCAATAAATAAAATGACTGGAGAAATCTTATTAATAACACGACAACAAGGAAATGGATGGGTACTGGTAAATAAATCATCTTACATTATTTGTAATGAATTATCTATAGTTTATATTACCAATTCGAGTATATTGAACTAAAGCCCAAAGGTGGTTGGGAAAACGATGAATCGCAACAAGAAGCAGCAGCTAGAGAAACATACGAAGAAGGTTCGTCGTTCAATAATTTCCTTTAAAATGTTATCATTAATAAAAATATATTATTAATGTCTTTAATAGCTGGCGCACGCGGAAAATTATCATTTATTGGAATATGGGATCATAAACAAACTGACTCACCCAATACTGCATTTATTTTTTTTGAAATGGAAGTGGATAAATTAGAAGATCAGTGGCCTGAAATGGATGTACGAAATAGACAGTGGGTGAGTTTATTGTATATTTTATCTAATCTAGTTCACGTTTAACTAATTTTCTAAACGTTTTAGTTTACATATGAGGATGCTCTAAAAGCCTTAGCAAAACCTTTCATGCGGGAGGTGGTAGAACGTTGCTCGTTGGCACCTTCAAATAAATAAGTTTGGCATGCCATTATAACATGTTAAACGCAAATGTTTTTTTATTATATTAAAAAATATATCATACTCTATTTATTACTAATATCACACAAATAATGTCCGAAATAAGGCGCACTTTTTATGATATCAAAGAGAAAATTTTGAATCTTCAATTTTATAAATTCCGGAATAAATATGAGTGCAGATCTCTTGACTAAATTTTTCCATTACATAATATATCGTATTTAATATCGTATTTAAGCTACTCTTTATCGTTGTTACTGCCGTACCAAATTTTGATCGTATTTGTATAGATTATTCCTTTTCTGTGTAACATTAAAAATTCTACCGATAAAACTGCTTAACTTAAGCAAAATTTTTAAGCAGATATATATCGATATATAGCATTAAATCGATATATATCGATTGAAAATAATCGATATATATCGATTAATTGTTATATATCGATATATATCACTAGTGATATATAACGATTATCGATATATAACGATTATAAATGATTATAATCACTATCGATAAGTAACGATTTGTATAAATTTCGTTAAATTTTCTTAAACTTTGAATTTAGTTTTCTCGATAACTAGTGATTCAAATCGATTGAAATTTTTACTGTAAATA